ATATATATATATATATATATAATATATATATATATATATATATAACTAATGATATCTAGAAATAAATTAACATCGTTTCTATAATTATAGAAATTATATATATTATAATTGATATTAATTCACACTCTTATATAAGATATTATGAAATATGGAAAAGATATAAATCAAATTAATACACAAAATAATAATGTCTTATATTAAGTTGGTAAGTCTTAATTAATATGCATCTATTATCGGTAATTGCATTAAATAATTAATTAATGTGTGTATATTAGTATTGTGATTATAATGGAATAAAAAATGCCACATGAGATATGAGGTGGATGTCACATAGATATGTCACATATCGATTTCTTAAGCTATGAGGGTTTCAATTTATATATTATATAGATATATTTATTGTTTATAAAAAAAGAAACTCATTAACCAATAAAAATACACTATTTTGACATGTGGGAGAGATAAAATTTGAAACAAAAAATGTGAAATTATTTCATTAATAATATGGGTGATTCTTGTAAGTGGGTTATTTTTGCAATTAATATAATATTGTGCATAAAATTTACTCAATTGTGAAATTATAAAAATTGCAATTAAGTCCTACATTTTTTAAATCAAAATATTGTTTATAAAAAAAAAAAACTCATGAACCAATAAAAAGACATTATTTTGACATGTAGGAGAGATAAAATTTTAAAATCAATAATGTCAAATTAATTAATTAATAATATAGATGATTATGATAATTTGGATTTTTTTTGCAATTAATATAATATTGTGTATAAAATTTAATGAACCCAAAAAAAGAATTAACGTATTTATTATGAAAAAATGGATTAAAAAAGGAAACTAAATAACCAATAAAAAGACACTATTTGACATGTAGGAGAGATAAAATTTAAAAATTAATTATGTGAAATCAATTACATAATAATATGGTGATTATGGTAAGTGGGGTTATTTTGAAATTAATAATAAAATGTGGACTCAATCTCCTCAATTAGAAAACTTTGATTGTGTATCTTAGTTTTATATATAATATAGATTTTCAGTTGAATGTCTCACAATAATTATTTACAATTTTAATGAGAAAATATATGTTTTGTTTACGTGTTAATATCATCTTCCAAAATATTCTTTAAAGATATATCTTAGAATAATTTTGCATTATAATTTGTAAGCACTTCTGCACTTGTGAGTAGCCATGCACACGCAAACAATACGTTTTGGTTTTTATCAATAATCCTAAATAAAAAGACGTAATTGGTCAAAGTAATTGATCAGAATTATCGGAGTGATCATATTACCGCGTTGTTTACTCGGTTTAATTTATTATTGACACCAACTCCAAATACACACCATTGGTAATTGTTGAATCCCCCTTGATCGTCTCCCCCATATTTAAACCTAATATTACAACTATTTTCATAATTCACAAGTTATAGCTAAACACACAAATTCTAGAAAAAAAGAAAAACAGTAAAAACCCTAGACAGATCAATCAAACTTCTTCTTCATCTCCCATATCACAATTTCTGTTTCCCCGACACGGTCAAAATGGAGTGGTCTCCCAAATGTGCTACAAATGCATATCTTGATGCCCTAAAATTGGTACATTTCCCTAAAATTTTCCTTTTTTTTTCTTTGGGGGGTCATTTTCGTGTGCGCATTGCGTGAATTTTGACGATGGCGCGTGGTTGCTTGAACAATAAGGCCTTCGTTTCATATTGACGAGGGTATCCTAATTCTTGCATTGGCATTCATTCGATTAATCAGTGCCCTTCCGGCAAAAACATTTGATAGGAGGAATTTAATTTATTTGTTTGATATGTTTATATGAGTAAGCATGAAGTTTCATCGATTCTAACAGACGCCTTTCGATCGTGTGCCTTAAAACAGTGCAATAAATGCAAGAAAGATTGCGGTTCACGCGAAGCACAAGTACCCGAAAGCAACGAATTCATATCCGCCTTAGCAGCAGGCATGAGCGCAAAGCTAATCGTGGAAGTAACTTCAGAGGTGTCTCCATCCACCGTAGCCTTAGCGGCAGCCGCCAGACAAACCGGAGGAAAACTCATCTGCATTCTCCCAGAGCCAGCAAACCTAACCAGTAGCACCAAATCCCGTAAAATAATCGAGGATTTAGGTCTAGGCGACATAGTGGAATTCAAAACAGGGGACCCCGCAGAGACGTTGCTCAAGTACGAGAATATCGACTTCTCGTTAGTGGATTGCAAAGGAGAAGACTACGGAAGATTGCTCGAGAAGTTGGATGTGAATCCGAAAAGATCGGTTGTGGTGGCCAATAATTTGTTGGAGGGTGAAAAGGGGTTGGGGGGCCATTTGAAGGGGGTGGAAAAGAAGACGAGAGTGAGGTCAATGATGCATCCTATTGGTCGAGGTATGGAGATTACTATGATCGGGAAGAGTAATGATTTTGGGAGTAGAGAGAAGAGCAAATCGGGGAGTTATAGTACGAGATCGGAGAGACGAGGGGGTGTCGTGAAGAAGACTGATAAGAGCAGATGGATTTTTCAAGTGGACGAAAAAAGTGGGGAGGAACATATTTTTAGGATGCCTAATTGTTCTGCAAAAGATTATTAAGATGTTTATTTCACATGTAAAATTATAGATAAGTTTGTTGGATTTTGCCACTTACTTAGCAGTTTCATTACAATGACAGTTAACCCAATTACTTTCGAATTTTACCACATTTTAAAGCAATCTCTTCTAATCTAATTATGAAAATTGTCTAGTCAATTATATCATAAACAGCTGGAGGGTTTATTTTGATGAATTAGATTTGGCGGGAATGAATGATGATAACCAGCCACCTCCAACCACCGTGCAGCTCAGCTCAGCCCCACCCCCCACCACTCAAGCTTCCAAATCAAGAAACCCCCTCCCACCAAACAACCCTTTACAACATATTCTTTCTTATTATCTATCTCTCTTCATTTCCAAATGTCTCCACATTAATTAACTCCACTCTCTCGATTTTCTTGCTCCAATTAATACAATGGAGGAATGTCCGAAATTCCTACTTTCTAAATCGAGCTTTCTTCTTTTCTCGGTTTTAGTTACTTTCATAAACTCAGCTCTCGTTGCACAAGGAGCTGATATCGAAAACCCACTATGTAACACCGATCTCACCTCGTTCCTCCCTTTTCCATACGGCACTTTACCCAATATGATCTGCAAACCACTTTGGAACTCATATCTACTAAGGGTAAGTAACATCATTAATTTCACTACACACAAAATTCTTTTACTACAACATAGTACAACTATTTATATGCACTTTTGTTTTTTTTTTTCCGTTACAGTATTCACGGTCCAAGAACAACGAAATCACCATTGTATTATCAACCATATACACAACCGGATGGGTTGGAATCGGGTTTTCCAAAACCGGGAAAATGATAAACTCGAGCTGCATTGTCGGGTGGATGAATCTTGAAGGCCAAGGTAGAATAAAGCAATATCATATAAAGGGCTTCACCCCTTCGGAAATCAAACCGGATCAAGGTGAATTACCTTTGACCAACTCCCCACCTTTTGTTGCCTTAAACGGAGCTACTATATACTTGGCATTCCAATTACAATTCAATAAAACCCTAAAAAATCAGCCAATTCTATTGGCTTTCAGCACCAAAACCCCCCACCACCACCGCCTCACTGTACACGACGACAAGACAACCTTAAACTTCGATTTCTCATCAGGTTTGATTCACTTAATATATATATCAACTAATTATTTTATTTCTTTTAACTTAAAAAAATAATCTTTTTCGGACAGGTAAAACAGATCATTCAAGAACCGATTTTTCAGCTAGCATATTCAAAGATAGGAGAACACACGGGACATTGGCTTTATTAGGATGGGGTCTTTTTCTTCCTATTGGAGCAATTTTAGCAAGATATCTCAAACATAAAGACAGCCTCTGGTATTACCTCCACGTGGCATTTCAGTTCATAGGATTTCTACTCGGAATCGGTGCAGTTGTTGTCGGAATATCCCTTAACAACAAAATGCATGCTTCCATTCCAGCGCACAAAGGAATCGGAATCTTTGTTCTCGTGATCACTGTCCTCCAGGTTTAAATTTTCGTCCGTACAAATTAAATTCACACATGATATATAGTATTACATGAATCATGTATATTTCAGGTTTTAGCGTTTATTACACGACCGAGTAAAGACAGCAAGTACAGAAGGTACTGGAATTGGTACCACAATTGGGTTGGGAGGATTTGCTTATTTTTTGGAGCAGTTAATATAGTTATGGGGATTCAGATTGCAGGGGAAGGGCAATCATGGAAAATTGGTTATGGATTTCTTGTTGGTTCTATTTTGGTTATAGTTATTGTTCTTGAGACATTGTTGAGAATTAGAAAGGTGGAGGAGAGAGAAAAACTTGCTGCCTTTTCAATTCAGCAAGAAATATCTCTGTAATATTATATAGGAATTATTGCTCAAAAATTATTATTGTTTGTTGTGTGAAAATATTTAGTTGTTCAAATTGTTTTGGGTGGTGCAAATAGCATTTCGAAATCAAGTGAATTATTTTGCAGAAATATTTGGCAGAATGTCAATACCAATCATTTAAATTTTAATAATTTATTGCATATGGTAATGTTATGTGTATGTGGTAATTTGTTTACAAACCACTCAAATTAATTTGACCAAATTTTTTGATAGTCAAAATTTTCGTTTCCCTAATTTTCTTAGTCATCGCTTGCTTTTTGTTATAATATTATGGACTATAGCACTTAATTTATAGTATGACAAGTGTCCTAGATAGGTGTCACAATTAGACTATAGAAGTTACCAAGTAATGACATGTGTAATGGTGACTAAGGCATTCTCATACCTATAAATACTTGTATTTTATGTTGAAATGAATAATAGAAAAATACACATTTTGCTAGCATTTTTATCTCTCTACTCTCTCTCTCCTCACACACACACACTCTCTCTATCTTTCCCACTCACATTCTCTATACACACATATTATATTATATTACATTATGTATAATATTATATTAGATAATGTATATCATATATACATATATGACATCCGTATATACATATATAAATATATATATTAGATCCAATATTAGTAACTAGTTAACATCGATTAATTAATAATATTCACACCATTAGTGTTTCTAATAAAATATTTAATAAACGAGCTAATGGGAATTATTTCACAACACGTTATCAGCACGAGGTTCTGGTCGAAAAAAGGTAGGTTATGTAAGTTTGTTTATGTTATTTCATTTTATTTGATAAAATCCAGATCCTCGATATCAAAGGGTGAAGCAAATACTACGGTATTTTATACGCCACCGATTTTCGGAGGAAAGGAAGGATATATATCTATAATTATGTGCATGTTGATTTATGAGGAAAAAAAGAGTCATTATCTCTGGCCTCGACTATGAATTTTCAACTTGCATTACATGATTTTGATTTTGTAAATTTAGAAACATGTAATTGGCATGTGCAAGTTTCGATCTATTTATTTAATAATCTTGTTTAAATTAGCAAAAGAAAATGGGCTGATTTAGATAAAGAAATGAAAATGACTCCGTCCCATAGGAGCCCAAATTAAGAGTCGATTTAAAGGCTATGATAATTACTCCGAACATAATGTTCGTAGAGATGGTGGACGTTGTAGTCCCCGATAATGGCCAATATAGAAGCCATAAATATAACTCCGGGTGTGATGCCCGTACAGTCACTAAAGGTTGTGATTCCCCTAAAAGGCCAATGAGGCTATTAAAATAAAATTAATTGGGTGTAGTACCCATATAAACGATGGACATTTTTATTAAGGGTCGATTGAAGGTCATAATAAAATTAAATATGGGGTTATGCCTACAACGACGATGTGAAAGATAGTCCTCGTCAAGATGTTCTTAAATTGACCAGAGTGGATGCAAATATTTCCGCCGAGATAATCATCTGGTTAAAATTAATTAAATCTCATGAGTTTATTGCCTACAAAATATATTTGGCCTATGAGTAAAGGTTATATATTTGAGATCATGCATGATAATATTCTTAATGATTACGATATAACTCTCGATGTAACGGTTTTCGAGATTGAATTTACTTATTTATGAACATACCTCCCTCGAACGATATATACACGAGGTTGAGCCTATAATATTTTCTCGAGATAAATATAAATGACGTCAAATTTAATACTTCTCTCGGATGATTTTATTCCCGAGATTGAGCTAATTTCTAAGATAAAATCTATATATCTCTCTCGGACGACGTATGTCCGAGATCGATTTTATAATATCTCCCTCGGATGATACATTCCTGAGGTCGAGCTTAATTATATATTCCCCAAATAAAATTTTACGACTCTCTAGATTGGATGATTTATTCCCGAGTTTAAGTTAGTAATACTCCCTTGGAAGAAATATTCCCAAGGTCGAGTTTATACACCCCTGATGATATTGGTAATATTTCAAAGTTAATTCAATATGTCTACTAATTGCGTAATATGTACATATCTCTCTCGGATGTTAAATTCCCAGGATCGAGTTCGCAAACTTCCTCGAACGAAAAATTCTCGAGGTTGAAATTATATATCTCTCTTGGATGATAAATACCCAAGATTGAGTTAGTATTTTATGAACATATTATTTAATATGGATTTACATGTGAAACACAAACATAATATACTATTGCCTATATATTATAATTTCGAACTTTGAAATTGAGTCATATATCTTTCTCGGATTGATTCCCGAGATTAAGATAAGCTACATATCTCCCTCGGATGACATATTCACGAGGTCGAATTTTAGAAGTTCTCCTTCATATGAAATATTCATGAAGTAGAGTTTGCATATCTCCCCTGAAATATATATATTTCCGAGGTTGAATTTAAATATCTCCCTGGACGATGTATTAGTCTAAGTGACAATTTAATATATTCTAAATTTTATTGAGTGTGATATTGCGCAAAGCACGAAGTAAAACTAAATTGCTTTCCGTAGAGATTATGGCTCCGGGAATAAACAATTGTTCTGCTTGTGATATTAAAAGCATTAGCTTTATATTGTATTGTGTCCTAATTCGAGTTTTCAATTACTGCACCACCATGTCAAATAAAATGGTTAATCCTGAAATATTCAGGTTTTGACTTGTTAATATGGGGACGCCCATAAAATATTACGGTGCCTTGAATTAAAGAATATAATACGGACATTCGTACGATATAAGGATCATTATGTCCGAAGAGAATTTCTGTAATTTATAGAAATCTCGTTATATTACCTTTAGTGCAAAAGGGTTGATAATATTTATGAACCAATACAACCTTTCAAGTGGAACAATATCTTAAATATTTATGATTTTGTGAGAAGCATCTTATAGATGATCTCGCGTGTGTTTATTATGTACGTGCAATATTATTTTAATTTGCACGTTTTCTGCACAAGGTACTATACCCCGGGCATATGAGAATGGATAGTGCCGAAGAAACTCGATCAAAATAATTTTGAAAATATCAATGCCTTGTAGCACACGCTCACACTCATATTGAATAATTGAATCCACTAAATAAACGAGTCATAATAAACATGCTATGGATAAATATGTCGAGGTTAACCTCTCGACTAAGGGCAATTACAATTATAAAATTTCGGGATGATTAATCCAGTGAACCACGTTCAAAAAATAGAATGTCGACTGAGCCGAGTTTGGCCTAAATGCGAGAAAGCGATTAAATCGGAATTGACTTTCATAGAGAAACGAAATAAATACGGACTAATGGTACCAACTCCGAACAATATAAACTCCCTGGATATAGATGGGGTTTTGTTCGTAAGAGGAATAATGACAACAAAATTGTTCGGTATAATGTGTGCCTTGTCAAAAATATTGATTCTTCCCAGTGTATGGGAATGATTATATTAGATGTATTTACTGGTTATGAATACTATCAACTTTCGTTTCTTAGGGTTGTCCATGAGGGAATGGACATACATCTAACAGACATTCTAATGTCATATTTATGGTTCACTGAATTTTGTTATACTCCTGTGGATTTAAAATGCGTAAAGCAAAGACGAAGTGATAATATGTTGCACTATTTTTCCCTTCTGATCGGTTTTTCCCACTGGGTTTTCCGGCTTAAGGTTTTTAATGAGGCATTAATTCAGTCGATACAATAGTGCTACGTCCAAGGGGGAGTGTTATAATATTATGGACTATAGCACTTAATTTATAGTATGACAAGTGTCCTAGATAGGTGTCACAATTAGACTATAGAAGTTACCAAGTAATGACATGTGTAATGGTGACTAAGGCATTCTCATACCTATAAATACTTGTATTTTATGTTGAAATGAATAATAGAAAAATACACATTTTGCTAGCATTTTTATCTCTCTACTCTCTCTCTCCTCACACACACACACTCTCTCTATCTTTCCCACTCACATTCTCTATACACACATATTATATTATATTACATTATGTATAATATTATATTAGATAATGTATATCATATATACATATATGACATCCGTATATACATATATAAATATATATATTAGATCCAATATTAGTAACTAGTTAACATCGATTAATTAATAATATTCACACCATTAGTGTTTCTAATAAAATATTTAATAAACGAGCTAATGGGAATTATTTCACAACACTTTTCACATTTTATTAATATTATTGGATTATGGATATCAGCCTACCCTTGTGATCCCCTATTTATTTAATTATATTTTATTTCATATATACTGTTTTTATATTCATTATAATGCCCAAATATAGTGTTTTAATTTACCTACCTAGATTCACATACATAACGTGTATGATATATACTACAGTATATGGAACATTGTGCAGCTATATTCATACACCTATATGCAAGTAAATCTTAATCTAGGAATCTTTGTAAGATAGAAACCACTAATTAAATTAATTAGCTATTAACTATGACAAATATCATTCCTAGTCTTGGATTTTAGTTAAAAAAAGAAATCACTGCATCTTTAGCACAGGTTAATTCTTAATTAGTACAGTTAAGTGGGGATACACCAGAATTAAATTACATTAACTATACTAGAGTTGAAAAGTACCTAAACCCCACCGCCCACATTTTTTTCCACGTTAACCAACTTTGACTTATTAGTTTTTGTTTATTAACAAATGTTCAAGAAATGGCACAATGTTCACATGGAATTTATCGACCCTAGCATCCACGTATACACACACACATACATGTGTATGTGTGTAAAATAATGTATGTTTCTCTCTCTCTCTCTCTCTCTCTCTCTCTCTCTCTCTCTCTATATATATATATATATATATATATATATATATATATATATATATATATATATATATATATATACATAGTGATCTAGTACGTAAACCAACCTTAAAAGTACAGAGTTCTCTCGTTCACATATTTCGCTGTCTGATCACAAACCAAAAAACATATCTTCTTCTTGTGTTTGATAGTGAAATTTGCAGTTTTTTCAGCACCAACCAATAACTAAACAACAACTCATACTATTCACATTAATTCTCTTGCAAAATACACTTGTGTTGTGAGATCAATTTCATTTTTGCTCGCTCTATCAGGTATTTTCCGTCTCTCGATCTCTATCTTCACCTCTACTACTTCTTATATACACACGTGCAGTATGCGTGCGCGCGCGCGCGTGTGTAGTTCAAATTATAACATGCATAATAAGAGGCATCATTAAATTTACAATATGCATGTCTTTTATACTTGCTTAAAAACAGGAGAAATAATCTGGCACTGGAACATGATCTTTATCTCCACATTTTATCCTTAACAAACATGCCACATAAGCTATGTTCCACTTATCAAACATTAATTATCTGTGTGTCTGAAATTTTTGACATTTAATTACAGGTTGAAATATATTATCAAAAAAAAATGTGGAGATTGAAGATTGCAGAAGGAGTTGACAGTGCTTACCTGTACAGCACAAACAAATACGTGGGCAGACAAATCTGGGAATTCGACCCTAATTACGGCTCTCCGGAGCTCCGGCAAGAGGTTGACAAAGCCCGCCAAGACTTTTGGGACAACCGCCACCATGTTAAGCCCAGCAGCGATCTCCTCTGGCGGATTCAGGTTCATATATCTATATCTATATCTATATCTATATCTATATCTATATATATATACCCTTTTTTTTCCATTAACATTTTTCATGAGCCATTCTACCTAATTATAACTCAATTCATTAATTATGGTAATTAATTTCTTGTTTAATTTTTTATATTGTTAATTTTGTTTGTCACGTAAAGAGTATTAGCAAAGTGGTACAATATTTGAGTTTTGATCACCCCCTGCAAAATGAATTTCTGTTGATTGATTTTTGACAATGAGAAAGTTGGTTTGTAACTTAGTGCCTTCTTTTTCCACTAAAATTACTGTTTACTTGACCAATATTTGATTTCCAGATCGATTTTATTTTCTCCTCTTAATTTTTATTTAATTAATTAATTAATCAAGCAAACTTTACTTGACCACCACAAAGTCTTCTTTATATGCTCGATTTATCATTCATTACACACAGACAGGCCTAACAAAGTTATATTCGTTTTATAATTATTGTCTTAATAATTATTGGATTTTTCGGACAAATATCTAATATTATGTATATCTAAAAATTACCGAAAAATGCAGTTCCTGCATGAGAACAAATTCAAACAGACAATACCTCAAGTAAAGGTGGCTGACGGTGAAGACATAACCTACGAGACTGCCACCGCCACTCTCCGGCGAGCGGTTCACTTCTTCTCCGCCTTGCAAGCAAGTGACGGCCACTGGCCTGCAGAAAATGCCGGCCCACTATTCTTTCTTCCACCTCTGGTAAATTAACAATAATTAGCATCTTACTAAACAATCCAATTTTATATTTTTAAAATCTTTAAAAAATAAAAAATTAAAAAAAATCTAACCTCTATGCAAAACAATACAGGTGATGATACTGTACATCACAGGGCATCTCAACACAGTCTTCTCAGCAGAACACCGTCGAGAAATTCTCCGTTACATATACTGTCATCAGGTCCAATATTATTTACCAAAAATAAAATAAGAAAATCAAATAGTATTAAATATCGCATTAGATAATTATGGACTAATTAAACGTGGCCTAATTAATTAATTTTTGAATAACAGAACGAAGACGGTGGATGGGGATTTCACATAGAAGGCCACAGCACAATGTTCTGCACAGCCCTCAGTTACATTTGTATGCGTATACTCGGTGAAGGTCCTGACGAAAATGCCTGCTCCAGAGCAAGAAAATGGATACTCGATCACGGCACTGTCAAAGCAATCCCTTCTTGGGGGAAAACATGGCTTTCGGTACGATAATTATGTCCAAGAATAACAGTTATAATGTAATAATCTTGTATTTTCATGAGTTCGATAAAAGTTAATAATTCTTGATCTTACAGATACTAGGAGTATTTGAATGGTCAGGTAGCAATCCAATGCCGCCCGAGTTTTGGCTTCTTCCGTCTTTTCTCCCTATGCATCCAGGTTAGCTTAAAAAAAAAAAAAAAAAAAAACAGGGGATTTTGGCTTTTAATATATGTTTAATCTTTGCCTAATTAACGGTTGTGTTTAATTACCATTGGAAAAATTGCAGCGAAAATGTGGTGCTACTGTCGAATGGTCTACATGCCAATGTCGTATTTATACGGGAAACGATTTGTGGGTCCGATTACTCCTCTAATCCTACAATTAAGAGAAGAGTTATACGATCAACCCTACGAAGAAGTTAACTGGAAAAGTATAAGACATTTATGTGCAAAGGTAAAAATACATCTATAACCGGTTCTTGATTATGCTAAAACATGTAGTGATAACTAACTAAATCAAGAAATTAAACATCCTTATATATATATAATGCAGGAGGATCTCTATTACCCTCATCCATTATTACAAGATTTGATGTGGGACACTTGTTACGTATTAACCGAGCCATTATTGACTCGTTGGCCACTCAACAAGCTACGAGAGAAAGCCTTAAAAGTCACAATGGAACACATTCATTATGAAGATGAAAACAGCAGATATATAACTATAGGATGCGTGGAGAAGGTTCTATGCATGCTTGCGTGTTGGGTAGAAGATCCGAACGGAGACTATTTCAAGAAACATCTCGCTAGAATCCCCGATTATTTGTGGGTTGCCGAAGATGGCATGAAAATGCAGGTACCCAAAAAAAAAAAAAAAAAAAGAAAATCGGGAGTATATTCTCTCAAATTAACGCCTATTATTTTAATTTTCAAGAAAACTTAAAAAAAAATGTTTTTTTAATTCGAAAAAATGCAGAGTTTCGGGAGTCAACAGTGGGATACAGGTTTCGCTATACAGGCTTTGCTGGATAGTGATATGAGCGAGGAAATAGGCGAAACGTTAAAGAAAGGGCACGACTTTGTAAAGAAGTCTCAGGTGAAAGAAGATCCTTCCGGAGACTTCCGGAGCATGTACAGACATATTTCTAAAGGGTCGTGGACGTTTTCCGACCAAGATCACGGGTGGCAAGTTTCGGATTGTACTGCAGAAGGATTGAAGGTATTAATTATTAATTATTATTATTCATTTTTTATCAAGAAAATGTTCAAAAAAGAAAAATTTGAGCCATAACATTCTTTTTTCGGATTTTACCAGTGTTGCCTACTCTTCTCTATGATGCCACCCGAACTAGTTGGAGAGAAAATGCAACCTCAGGATCTCTACAATGCTGTCAACATATTGCTTTATTTGCAGGTAAGAATTAATTAATCGTCGATTTTCAACACATTAGTATATTAGTATATCAAAGCAAAAAAGTAAGAACAATCGATTCAAAAGGCTAAAAAGTACTTACACGACTGAATTATTACAGAGCAAAAACGGCGGTTTAGCTGCATGGGAGCCAGCAGGATCATCGGAGTGGTTGGAGGTACTTCAAAAAAAAAATCGATTTCTTATGATTCATTAAAAGTTCACACACACACACACATATATATATATATATATAGCAATATATCAAGTTAATAACTCTATGTTTTTTTACTGCAGTTACTAAACCCTACAGAATTCTTCGCAGACATAGTCATCGAGCACGAGTAAGACACATTCCAACTTATCTTTCCATTTTCAAGAAGAAAACATATTAATTCAACCGAAACCGATTCTAAAAATTCGATCTTTCTTAATCCAGATACGTGGAGTGCACTTCATCAGCAATCCAAGCCCTAGTTCTGTTCAAGAAACTACACCCACACCACCGAAAGAAAGAGATCGAAACCTTTATTACAAAGGCTGCAGGCTACCTTGAGGATGTCCAAAAACCTGATGGTTCATGGTACATTCTGTTCCTTCTTGATTAATCACACCAACTACTCAACATCAATCAACATTTTGCAATTCTAATATAAAATATATAAAACCCCCCAAAAAAAAAATTGATTTTTTTTTTTTACAGGTATGGAAATTGGGGGGTTTGTTTTACATACGGTTCTTGGTTTGCACTTGGAGGGCTTGCAGCAGCTGGTAAAAGCTACAACAACTGTGAAGCTGTAAGAAAATCAGTTAATTTTCTCCTAAATTCACAAAGGGATGATGGTGGCTGGGGTGAAAGTTACCTCTCCTGCCCTAAGAAGGTAACTTTATTTTTACCCTCACAGAATCTAGTTACAATTTAGCTGAAAAATTGAAAAACTTACTGTGGCTGTAAACAGGAATATGTACCGTTGGAAGGGAATCGTTCAAATTTGGTTCATACTTCATGGGCAATGATGGGTCTTATTCATGCTGGCCAGGTTTGTTTGTTTGTTTTTTTGTTTTTTGTTTTTTTTAACAGCAAAAACACGTGTTTACTTGATCCATTGTTAACCAGAAAAAGCGTGTTATTTGATTTTGCTTTACAACAGGCTGATAGGGACCCCACACCTCTCCACCGTGCAGCAAAGCTTCTAATCAACTCTCAACTCCAAGATGGTGATTTTCCCCAACAGGTATATATTAAGGTTTATAACTAAATTTATTGTAATTTGTAAAATAATTGCTTTTTTGTAATAAATTTAATTAAATATGGATTTAATTGGCAGGAAATTACTGGGGTTTTCATGAAGAACTGCATGCTACACTATGCAGCATACAGAAATATATATCCATTGTGGGCTTTAGCAGAATATAGAAAGCGTGTTCCACTACCATCAGCAATCATGTAAAAGCGTGTTACATGATTATTATTATTATTATTATTATTATTATTGGTTTATTTTTGTGATTTGTAATATCTTTCTTCTTTCCATAATAATATGTAATCATTTATAATCCATGTATGTTGTACAATATGAATATAAAAGAAAATCAATTTTCTTATGGAGCTTTATTACATGATTACCCTTGAATTTATATTTTTAATTTATGTATATAAGAAAAATCTTGATATTAATTAATAAACATAACATTATTATAACATACGTGTCCAAATTGTGGACTTGTGCATTCACCGTGTCATTAACTAAATGAGTCATGGTATTTAGATCCTTAGTCATGAGGGAAGTGTAATTTTTGTAAAATTTACATTGCATGGCAGTAAAGGTGATAATGCATGAAAATCACCTATAAAAGGGTTGTATGCAAATGAAACATTAAAATTATCTCATCTTTCATTTTTATCAACATCAATACATTAAGCTTTTATACTCTTATTTTCCTCTATTAATAAAAACATATAATTAATTTCTATTCTCGTCTCAATAATTTTATTCTAAGTATATATTATATTTTATAGTCTTATTACATAACACGTTATCAACACGAGTTTTTGCTCTACAAAATTATAGATTTGTAAAAAGGTTAATTTCTTTATGTTGTACTGTTTTCTACTTATTTTATTTTACGATGGCCGGAATCGAAAAACAAAAATTTCAAATCCTTGATGCTACCGGCAGTAACTTTTTATCCTGGTGCTTAGATATCAAATTACACCTCCAAGGGCTAGAACTTGTAAAATTCTTGGATTGTGTAGATATCAAGGAGGCAAACAGGAAAGATGAGGCAAATGCTATGATTTCTATCCGCCATTATCTTTCTGAGAATTTGAAAGACGAATATATACAACTTGAAAGGCCATCAGAGATATGGCAAAAACTCAAAGAAAGGTTTCATCACACAAAAACTGTGATTCTCCCACAGGCCCAATACAATTGGCAGCACCTAAGGCTGCAGGACTTCAAATCTGTTGCCGACTATGATTCGGCACTGTTTAAACTTGAGTCCCGATTAGCCTAGTGCGGAGTTAAAATATCTGAATATGATAAATTGGAGAAAACTTTCTCTACTATGCATGCCTCGAACTTGGTGCTCCAACAACAATATAGGCAGCGCTAGTTTAAAACATATTCGGAGTTGATCTCTGTACTCCTCACAACAGAAAAAACAAATGAATTGCTGTTGAAAAATCATGATTTGCGACCATGTGGGTCCCAAGCTGTGCCTGAAGCACATGCTAATCAAAATAGAAATCTGGGCCGATTTAGACGCCGTGGACGTAGATTCTGGCGTGGTGTACGCATAGGCGGTGGACGTGGTCCCCCTCAAGATGCCCGAAATAATGACCGAGGTGGATATGAATATACCCGTCGAAATAATAATATGGTCTGGCAGAGACAACCATTTCAAGCAAAACGCGATAAAGGCAAGATGCCGGCGGAAAGAATTCCAGAAAATATGTGTATTAGATAAGGAATGACTGGACACTGGGCCAAAGTTTGTAGAACAGCCCAACATCTGGTAAATCTGTACCAGGATTCAAAAAGAGACAAAGGAAAAAATGTCCAGGCAAATGTCATTGAGGCAGAAATGCCACTTGCTGTTCTTGAAGCCAGCACATCTAGGAGCATGCTTGATCAAGATCCTGCTCAAGATGGAGCCTCTCTTGAGTTATCAGATTTCTTTACAGATCTTGATCCTCTTGTGTAAATTGCCAAATGAGCAACTCTTTTGGGTTATTTTGTACTCACTATGTATACTTTGTATATATCTCTCTCGGATGATGTAGTACCCGAGATTGAGCTAGTTTGTCTTTTGATGTATCCATGTACATATCTCCCTTGGAAGTTATGTTCCCGAGGTCGAGCTGATATTTTGATTATGTATAAAACTATGAGTTTGTTATCATATCATTTGCTAATTATGCTACGATTCAATATTAATTTTATGTTATTTAATTCAAGCAAACATGGAGAACATCGACAAAAGAGAAAATTGCCTACTCGATAGTGCAACTACACACTCAACATTCAATAATAAAATATATTTCTCGAGTGTGACTTTGTGCAAGGCACAAGTTAAAACCATAGCAGGTTCCGTGGAAATAATTGACGGCTCTGGGAACGCAACAATTGTGTTGCCTAATGGTACCACTTTGCATATTGAAAATGCACTGATATCCGGCAGATCAAATAAGAATCTACTAAGTTTTAAAGATGTGAGACGTAATGGATTTCATTTAGAGACACTGGTTGAAAATACCGTGGAGTGTCTCTGCATCACATCATATGTTATGGACAAAAGAATTGTCCATGAAAAACATGAAGCGACAGCTTCCCGAGTGTATTGTTTCCAAATTAGAGCTTTCGAATCCTATGCGACTATGCCATGGAAACTTGTTAATCCTGATATACACGGGTTATGGCATGATCGACTGGGTCACCTAGGAACAACAATGATGCGTAAGATTGTACAACGTACTAAGGGACATCCATTAAAAGATACAAAGATCTTAATGTCCACTGAATATTTCTGCGAATCATGTTCACAAGGAAAGCTCATTATAAAACCTTCCATTGAAAAGGTCGGTTATGAATCACCATCGTTTTTACAACGTATTCATGGCTTATTATCTATGAAAAATGTTGCATTTGCTGCTAGCACAAATTATCAAACTCCGAGCACATTTTCCTGATTATCCCATAAAAAATATAAGAATGGATAATGCCGGAGAATTTACATCAAAATCTTTTGATGAGTATTGTGCAGCACTGGGAATAAATATCGAGCACCCAGTAGCATACGTTCACATTCAAAATGGACCGGCGGAATCTTTGATTGAACGCGTCCAAATAATTGCTCGTACTTTGCTGGTGAGATCTAAACTCACTAGTGTAGCATGGGGTCATGCAGTATTGCATGTATCAGCACTGATTAAATTACGCCCCAGAGTTTATCATATGCATTCCCCAATGCAATTGGCATTGGGCTTTGAGCCCGATATTTCGCACCTTCGCACATTTGGTTGCGCTGTGCAAGTGCCAATTCCCCCTCCTCAGAGGACTAAAATGGGTCCCCAACGTCGACTTGGCATATACGTTGGGTTTGATTCACCGTCAATTATTAGGTTCTTAGAGCCAATGACGGGTGATTTATTTACCGCTAGATTTGCGGATTATCATTTTGATGAATGAGACTGTATTTCCATCAATTGGTAAAGATAAAAATATCATTGATAATGATAAACAAAAACCAATCGAGAATCTCACATGGTGTGAACAACATTTATCTCATCTAGACCCACGTACCTTTGAATGTGAAAATGAGATCCATAGAATCATTCATTTACAAAATATTGCCAATAGACTTCCTGATGCATTTAATGATGCCAGTAAAGTCACAAAATCTTATATTCCAGCTGTGAATATGCCAGCTAGAATCGCTATTCCTGAAGAACATGCGAAAATGAATGATGATCCCCCACGACAAGAACGCGGTAGACCTATTAGATCAAAGGACGTTGTTCCTAGAAAAAGAAAAGAAAAAATCGATGAACCCTCGAACCAAGTAGTTCCTAGTGAAAATGCTCCATATGAATCTGTTGAGCCTAATATCGAAAAAACGATATCAAATCCTGGGAATACCGAGAATTCCATAAGTTATTGCAATGAAATATGGGATAGAAATGAGATAATCATCGATAATATTTTTGCATTCTCGGTTGCACAAGAAATTATGTACGATGATTATGATAGTGAACCGCGTTCCATAATGGAATGTCGCCAAAGAAATGATTGGCCCAAATAGGGGAGGAAACAATAAAATCTGAATTGGCTTCCCTAGAAAAACGGAAAGTATTCGGGCAAATCGTTCAAACTCCGGATAATGTAAAGCCCGTTGGGTATAAATGGGTATTTGTCCGTAAGAGAAACGAGAACAACGAAATTGTACGATATAAAGCCTGCCTTGTAGCTCAAGGCTTTTCCCAGCGACCTAGGATGGATTATGATGAGACGTATTCACCAGTGATGTATACGATCACTTTTCGTTTTCTTATAAATATGGTTGTCCAAGAGGGACTGGACTTGCGTCAAATGGACGTTGTAACGGCCTATTTATATGGTTCACTAGATTCGGATATTTATATGAAAATTCCGATGGATTTAAAATGCCAAACTCTGGCGCTTCTGGTGAGCTGCACTGAATCAAATTGCAAAGATCATTGTATGGTCTAAAGCAATCCGTCCGCATGTGGTATCATAGGTTGAGCGAATACCTTATTAGGGAAGGTTATAAAAATGATTCTATTTGCCCATGCGCTTTTATTAAAAGATCAGAAACCGGATTTGCCATTATTGCCGTTTATGTAGATGACATGAACCTGATTGGCACTTCTGAAGAGTTGGCCAATGCTGCGGAATATTTAAAAAAAGAGTTTGAGGTCAAGGACCTTGGAAAAATCAAACTCTGTCTTGGTATTGAGCTTGAGGAAATAACGGAATACTTATACACCAATCTACATATACTAAACGACTGCTCAAAAGATTTAATATGGAAAATGCTAATCCATTGAGCACCCCTATGGTTGTACGCAATTTAGATCCTAAAAAGGATCCGTTCCGACCTAAAGTATTTTATGAAGAGATACTTGGCCCGGAAGTGCCGTATCTAAATGCTATAGGAGCGTTAATGTATCTAGCCCAATGCACTCGACCTGAGATCGCGTTTGCGGTAAATGTGCTTGCGCGATACAACTCTGAGCCTACCCGGAGACACTGGAATGGTGTTAAACATATTTTTCGATATCTCTGTGGTACTGCAGATTTGGGATTATTTTATTCAAAGAATGCAACTAACCAAGGGTTAGTTGGTTATGCCGATGCGGGATATAAATCTGATCCGCACAAAGCTCGCTCACAAATAGGATATTTATTTTGTTATAATGGTGCAGGTATATCTTGGCGATCTACCAAACAGACATTGGTGGATACCTCCTCGAATCATTCTAAAATAATAGCCCTTTATGAGGCAGACAGAGAATGTGTTTGGCTACGATCGGTTATTTCGCATATACGAAATTCCTGCCAATTGAATCCAGTTATAAACTCGCGCACTGTCATTTACGAAGACAATGCTGCTTGCATAGCACAGACAAGAGACGGATATATAAAGGGTGATAAAACCAAACATATATCACCAAAGTTCTTCCACACACATGAGCTTCATAAGAATGGAGAGATCGATGTTCGACAAATTCGCTCATACGACAATCTTGGTGATTTATTTACAAAGTCTTTGCCGACTTCTACATTTGAGAAATTGGTGTACGACATTGGAATGAGAAAAGTTAATATGAAACAAGATTGACGGCCCATTTCGGAAGCTATATATTGCTCATTTCAGGGGGAGCAATGGTGTGTTGCACTTTTTTTCCCTTATGACTGGTTTTGTCCCACAAGATTTTCCACCAAAGATTTTTAACGAGGCAACTTATGCACACGACTTAAATTTGAGTTATGCGCTTTTTCCTTTAAGGCAACACGACAAGACAATGATGCTACATATAAGGGGGAGTATTATAACATACGTGTCCAAATTGTGGACTTATGCATTCACCGTGTCATTAACTAAATGAGTCATGGTATTTAGATCCTTAGTCATGAGGGAAGTGTAATTTTTGTAAAATTTACATTGCATGGCAGTAAAGGTGATAATGCATGAAAATCACCTATAAAAGGGTTGTATGCAAATGAAACATTAAAATTATCTCATCTTTCATTTTTATCAACATCAATACATTAAGCTTTTATACTCTTATTTTCCTCTATTAATAAAAACATATAATTAATTTCTATTCTCGTCTCAATAATTTTATTCTAAGTATATATTATATTTTAGGGCAAAATACACTTTACCCCCTTGTACTATTTCCCATGTAACACTTACTCCCCTCTCCCCTCGTACTATGAAAAATACAATTACCCCTTTATTTTAACGGTCAACATATTTGGCTCTTAATGGTGTTAGAGGTAAAATAAATTTAATATATTTTTAATAATCCTTATTAAAGGACACATTTTCTTTATTTAAAAAAATATTACATGTACTATGAATATATTAAATAAATATTTAAGATAGCAATTCTTTTTTAAATTTTGAATTAAATATAATTTACTTGTTAAATATTTATATTGAAAATTAATATTTAGATAATATAATTTTTCATATATTATTTTATACAACCAAGTAGCAAGTTTAATTTTTTATATTCTGGATTAAATTATTTAACTCATTAAACATTGTGTACGTTGAATTTTTAATATTTATTTGTAACATTAAATTCCGTATAGTGAATCCTAAAATGTGAAAGGCTTAAGTGAATTTTGATGTTACAAATAAATAAAATAAATCATTAGCATATATTGTTAAAAAATATTTATGTAGAATTACAATTTTTAATATAAATATTTAATGAGTAAATATTTTAATCATATATTTAAAAATTTATACATGTTAAATATTTATTTAATATATTTATCCACAATGAAAAGATATTTTTTTAATAAAAATAAGATGTCATTTCTTATGAATTATTAAAAAGTAATAATACTTTTCTTATTTAATCAAAATTTAAAAATATTATTATCTTAAATATTTATTTAATTTATTGATAGTACATGTAATTTTTTTTTAAATAAAAAAAATGTGTCATTTAGTAGGGATTGTTAGAAATATATTAAATTTATTTTACTACTAACACCAATAAAGTCAAATAGGTTGACCATTAAAATAAGGGGGTAAATATATTTTTCATAGCTCAAGGGGGTTAGTGTTACGTTAGGCATAGTACAATGGGGTAAAGTGTATTTGTCCTATATTTTATAGTCTTATTACATAACAAACAAATTTTTTTTAGGGATGAAAAAATAAATATGGCCCAAAAATTAGCCCATAATCACATTTCACAACAAATTGCCCATAGGCCCAATAATAATCAGTAACTCGGTCTAACGGCCCAAGCCTCGTAAATCCGATAAGCAAGCATACGGCGTCGTAACACACTTGATCCATTATCCCACAGTCACTAAAACAAAAACTGCCCCTCCGGCCAATGAGAATCCGCCACGTAATATCCATTGCTGAACAGCCGTTTCACGGTAGCACGGAACTTGTATACTACCAATATATTTGGGGTTGGCGCGACCCTCGTTGCCAAACTTGGAGCCAAAGCTGCCTCAAAAATTTCAATTGAATTCGCCCCCCCACAATATTATTTCTTTAATATTATTTTTTGTTATTTATGAAATTTAAATAGAATTTATACCTTGACACCTATGCATGCATTCATTCATATACACACTAACATCTATTGCTGTAATCCTTTTATCAGGATTAATCTGAAACTCAATCGGTTCCCGTTTTTTTGATTTGTCCGCAATTCAGCAGGATTTCTCATCCCTTTGTTGCTCAATTCGTTCAATTGTTTTCAATTTCTGCTGTTTTGGTCGGAAGATTTGATTTTCTTCCCAAAAATTGAAGAAGATATAAGGGTGATTTTTTTATTTTTTTTTGGGTGGGTCTTTTGGATTCAGTCGATTTGAGTTCTTAATTGTTGAAATTCAGGGTGGTATAGAGGTTTCCCCTCGAAATATTGTTGTTGAATTTCGGTGAGAGGATTTATTTGAAAGCAATTTGGGTTCAGACAAAAAGAATTGCCGTGGAGAAGAGAGGAATTAGGGTTTTGTTGTGGTGCACCTAGGTTTGTTTTTCCGATTTGCGAATTTGATTGATAACGGGACATGATTGGAAACGGGGCGGAGGAAAATTGGAATGCCGAAACTCAAGCGTTGCTCAATGGCGAAAGAGGAAGTGACGGGTGTGAACGACGTGGAGGAATCATGCAGCCCCGCCGTGAATTGTAATAAGATGACGAAGGTAACTGATCGATGTTTTACTGTTCCAATAGTAAAATTAGAAGGTCAGAGCATTGATCTTTCAAACTACTGCCCTTCCACTGAACGCTCTTTGGATAATGCCGAAGCAAATTCCGTTGCTCAGAGGGCTGTTAATAACAAGCCTCCACTATTGAAGTCTTCTCGAGGGCGTAAGCAGGTACTCCCTATGAAATTCAATGACTCTGTTTTGCATCCATGGAAGAAAGAAAAATCTGAGGGTTGTGATGATTTGAAGAGCTCAGTTGACAATGACGAATATGCTCAGGGTGTGCCTCGTAATAAGAAGTTAAAACGACAAGATAAGTCGGCATCGCACGATGATGTATATTTAGTCAAGAAACCACGAATCGAAAAGAAGTCGAGCTTCCAATTGAAAAACATAATTTTAGAGCCTTATTCTAGTTCGCGAAGTTCAGTGACATCAGTTAATGAAGGGATTTCTAGTGTATCACCCTTGGCGGAAAGTGGTGGGGAAATGAGTGCAGCATTGAAGAAACCAGAGAAAGTGAAAGTGGTTGAGAAGAAGACTGATTTTTATAAGCCTGACGATTTTGTAAAGGAAGATATAGTTTGGGCAAAATGTGGGAAACATTTCCCTGCTTGGCCTGCTATAGTGATTGATCCACTCTTTCAAGCTCCTGAAGGGGTACTGCGAGCTTGTGTTCCCGGCACTCTTTGTGTTATGTTCTACGGGTTTTCGAGGAGTGGACTAAGGGTAATTTTCTCTCAAAAACTTGTAGTCAAACATGAATGTGTTACTTATAAAATTATATATGGTGGTGCACAATATGAAATATGCACTTGAAAGAAGAAAAAATATTCTATGGGTCACTGCATCTGTTGTTTACACTTATCTATGATTATTTAACCTCTTGGTCCTGAATGTGTCTACAGTTCATGCAAAGATATACATCCGTTTATTCACTTTTCTGGCCTTTCTAAAGGTATTATTATCTAAAACTTTTGTTTGCAGGACTATGCATGGATAAAAGCTGGAATGGTTTTTCCATTTCACGAGTACATGGACAGGTGAATATAATCTTAAGTTTTGTCATAACTCATAATCTATGCTATGTGAGAAAAGTTGGTCTTTGAATTTGTTTGATGTTTAGATTTCAGGGGCAGACTAAGTTGCATGGTAGCAAACCAAGTGATTTCCACGCTGCTATAGAGGAGGCGATATTAGCGGAAAACGGCTATGCAAATTCAGCCATGAAAGATGGGCAGGAAACATTACCTGTGACAGAATTTAATGGTGCTGAAGAGGCAACCGATTCAAATCAGGTTTCAGGACATACTCCTCAGCAGGCAAGTTTCAACTTGGTTAAAAAGTATAATGTTGTAAGGAAAAATATAACCGAATCTTACTTTGGATGTTTTTTAAGTTCTTACACTTACAATTGGAAATCACTTTACAAGATTTCTACTATAAATAATAAAATACAGTTACAGCCTTGCATGTTATAGTTGGTTTTAGGAATTATTACAATGATAGGTTGAAAATAGTTGATATAGAAAGTGGACAGACATCAAAATATGGTTAAACTCATGTCTTACTTTCTTGCTGCCTTGCAACTCACAAGAAATCCCCAATACAGTGATAGTCATTTTTATTATTCATGGTTTGTTGCAGGAGATAACCGATAAAAGGAAAGATACTCGAGCTTGTAGTAGCTGCAGCTTGATATTTCCATGCAGGATGGTGAAAAAAGTGAAGACTACAACAGCTAAAGCTCATTTTTTGTGTGAACATTGTATCAAGGTTTATCCATAGCTCATTTGTTATCTTTCTAGCCATTCATTCTCATAGTCTTTTTGAGTACTTTTTTTACTTGGGGAACTGGTCATGTCGCAGTTAAGAAAATCAAAGCAATACTGTGGTATTTGTGAGCAAATTTGGCATCATTCTGATGGTGGAAGCTGGGTAAGATAATCTACATGTCTGATCTTTATTTAGATGATCTTTTCTGCTATCGAATTAATTAACTTATTCCCTTCTCTGTTTTGCAAATCTTTATGTTAGGTATGTTGTGACAGTTGTAATGTTTGGGTCCATGCTGAATGTGCCAACATTTCTACCGAAATTTTGAAGGTTTTTCCTTCAGATCTCTTCTATATTAACATGGAATATCATGACATTACTATTTAGTTGGCTCACTACCAAATTTTGACATTTAGCATTTGAAACATATTATGGTTTTGTAGAATCTGAAAAATAGGGAATACTTCTGCCCTGAATGCAAAGCAAAGCCTGAATGCAAAACAAAGCCGACATCTGAATTGTTGGTTTCAAATAAACAAGAGCTTTACATTAGGTACCTGTTTGATTTTCTTGCGTCTTACGTAGTTTTGTTTCTTGAAATCATGATGACTTTTTTGTAACCAACTGATTTTGTATCTATGCTGACGTCTATCAGGCCGGCCGAAAAGCTTGAAAGCAAAATAATGCCTGAGAAGATAACAGTTGTCTGCAATGGCATGGATGGGCTTTATTATCCAAGTCTCCATTTGTAAGTTCTAAATTCTGTGGAAATGATTTTTAGATAATTTCTTCCAATTAGTGTGCCAGGTGTCTGTTGTGATGCTGTACTGTCTGCCTATAGGTTGCTTTATGCATAAATAAGGGATATTGAGTTTCTTATGGAATGCTCCAAAAGTTTTTCTAGATATTCTGTTTAGTATGATTGCTGCAATATTTGTCTAATGCTATTTTTGGATTATCCTTTGCCTGAGAACAGATTCAGATTTCATTGTTTTACCTGATTTACAGATGGCAGAAAATTTAGATGCATTGTCTGTTTTTCCTGTTGATCTGATCAACTGTTGCGAGGCTAATGCTATGGTAACCTTTTGGATTTAAAGGGATATTTTATTTATTTATATTTGCTCCTCTTCTCAGGGTTCAGTGTATTTGTGGTTCATGTGGCACAAGAAAATGTGGTCTCAGTGAGTGGGAAAAGCATACAGGATGCAGAGCGAAGAAATGGAAGCACAGTGTGAAAGTGAAGGGTTCTAATATGCCACTTGAAAAATGGGTTTGTTCCTGAACATCTTCAAAATTACTAATTCTACTCTGCTTCACATTTATCATATGATTAATGGATGATGTCTGATAAATTAAGGTTTATCTCAATGACTATCGGTAGTCAGACAATGCTAGAAAGAAGAAAGAAATTCTACAAAAACATTTTGTTTACCAATCTCCCTTTCGTAGTGCTATGCTCCAACTGGTCATCCACCTTGTTATATGGTTCTTTTGTTGTGAGCTTAACATTCTTGGTCCTCGTGGTCATGCTCTTTACAGACATTGTGACCCCATCTTTTATATCGAACTTCAAGTATATTCATATTTTAAGAATCTATGTTTTTTATTTTATCTAACATCACTGTGCTACAGATGACAGAGTATAACTTACATGGCTTCAACCCTGCGCGGTTAGATAAGAAGCAGCTGTTTACTTTTCTGAAAGGTTGTAGCTTGTTCTGCTTTTTTATATCACATTTGTTTTGTCTTCATAGTGCATCTAGTTTATGTAGACAACGTAAGAGATAGTTTCTTACCGAGTCTCATTTTGCAGAAAACTACGAACCTATTCAAGCAAAGTGGACGACCGAACGATGTGCTATTTGTAGATGGGTTGAAGACTGGGACTACAACAAAATAATAATATGCAACAGGTTCACCCATCTGTAGTTTTAGTTATGTGGCTCACAGACACTTTATAAGCTCTTCAATGTATTTAATCGAATAATTTTTTTGGCTGTTTAGATGTCAAATAGCAGTACATCAAGAATGTTACGGAGAAAGGAACAGACATGATTTTGCGCTATGGGTTTGTCGAGCATGCGAAACCCCAGAAATTGAGAGGGAATGTTGCCTCTGTCCCGTGAAAGGCATGTTACTTGATAAAGCTTGATTTATTCTTAGCAAAAATTTTATGTAGTTTAATTGAGAAGTACATCTTCAGGAGGTGCATTGAAGCCAACTGATATTGAAGGTTTATGGGTTCATGTTACTTGCGCGTGGTTTAGGCCAGAAGTTGCTTTCACAAATGCTGAGAGAATGGAGCCAGCTGCTGGACTTTTGAGAATTCCACCAAGCTCATTCACTAAGGTAGGATCTCAAATGAATGAAATAGTGTTAATTAATCTCCTCTAGTATATTTTGTGGAATGAGTGTGAGCTGTGTTAACTTATGGGGCTATTCATGATTGCATAATTTGTGAAATACCTACTAAGAATTATACTTTGTAGTTTGTTGAGTTTTTTATCTCAACTAATTTTGTTTACAAATTAGTTGATCTGTATTCAAACTTTTTTTTTCTTACCATTGTTCGGTGCCAGTTTTTGTTAATATTATTTAAAATGATCTTATCTCTTTCTTCATAATGTAATTATGCAGGCATGCGTTATTTGCAAGCAGATTCACGGTTCCTGCATGCAATGTTGCAAGTGTACCACCTCCTTCCATGCTACATGTGCTTCTCGTGCCGGATATTGCATGGAAGTAAGTTCATAATTTTGTTTCTTTTATTTGTTTTTTTAATAAACATTGGCATATCGTATTATACACCTTTATCTATCTCTAAGTCCTAGTATGTTCCTAGGTTCCTTGTGTACCCATTCTTCAGTTTATCAGGAATCCAAAATTTTCGTCTCGCAGTTGTGATTTTTTTTTCAAAGATTACTATGCATTATTGTAATTTGCATTATCTGTCCAAAAAAGAAGCACACAGTCAGAGATAGATAACCCCTTGTTCCTTTTTTCTTGTTTTTTTTTTCTTGAACTGATTCCTTGAGTAATTTTGATTATTGAATTCAGTTGCATTGCTCTGAGAAGAACGGGATGCAGATAACCAAATGGATATCATATTGTGCTGTACACAGGTATGATTGTCTGCCATATTGTTTTTGTTTCGACCTAGATCCATACATCCTCATGCAAGTGTATAATAGTTTGGCTGTGTTTAATCTTTTCGCGGTTTGGCAACTAAGGGTGTAAATAGTAGCTAAATTTGCAAAAAAATGATAATACTGGTTTCACCCGTTTCTTTATTGCATATTTATTTTAGATAAAGGCTTTTCAACTCTTTACGTGCCCGTTCATTAAAATATCGACTGTTGTCTCAGGACTCCTAGCCCAGAGAATGTGCTAGTAATTCAAACTCCACAAGGGGTGTTCTCTAACAAAAGTTTGCTCCAAAGCCAATATCAAGAACAATGCTCAAGAGGTTCTAGGCTCATCTCTTCAAAGGCTGCTGAATGCTCCGATTCAGCTCCTGCAGATGAAAGTGAAATCAAAGCAATGTCTGCTGCAAGATGCCGCATTTATAAACGATCAAGCGTAAAGGTACTGTTCTTTTCTTTTATTTTCTTTTCTTTTCAAATTTATGTGTTTGTGTATGCGTTGACTTATAACCTTTAACTTATATTTCTTCTTCTACCATTTTTTTTTCTCTGAACAGAAGACTGGGCAAGAGTCAGTATTCCACCGCTTGATGGGGCCTCGTCATCACTCTCTGGGTGATATAGAACGTTTAAGTTCACATAATGAAGTAAATATTTTCCTTCACGAGTATTCTGTTTTTCGAAAAAAAAAAGAATTTCCTTGTTTTGAGCTCATTTATTTATTATCAAGAGTTTAACCTGTTTTGGTCGCTTCTATATTGTTATTGTTAGGATACTGAAGGTGCGAAAGCGTTTTCAACATTCAGAGAGCGGTTAGAACATTTAAAGGTGATTTATGCCCATTTCTAATTCTATATCTCCTCACCAACCCACTCAACCACAAAAATAAATCCTTGTATATCAAAATTTCTCATGTATTTCTTTTACTCGGCCATGCTTCAGAAACGAGAAAATTATCGGGTTTGTTTCGGCAAATCAGGAATACATGGATGGGGGCTCTTTGCTAGGCGAAACATTCAAGAAGGAGATATGGTAATAATTTGTGTCCCAATTTTTGCTGTTAATAATTTAGAATAAATTGATCAAATCTTATTCTTACGTTTTTGCTTATATTTGGCTCTTTTGCAGATTATAGAATATCTTGGCGAGCAAGTAAGGCGTAGCATTGCTGACCTGAGGGAGGCACGATATCGATTGGAAGGCAAAGATTGCTACGTGAGTCAAGTCTTAACCTTGTATTGGTTTCACTTAACTATTCTCTAAATGCAATTTGATCTTTCTGAATGTTCTAATTGTCTGATGCCAATGTACAATGCAGCTTTTTAAGATCAGTGAGGAAGTAGTAATTGACGCCACAAATAAAGGGAACATAGCTCGCTTGATTAATCATTCTGTATGCTCTTTTCCTTATTGTTCATTTTTAGTCGTGTCATTTATATTTATCTTGGTTCACAAGTGTTTTAATATGCAATAGTACTTGAATAATACGAGATGATGTTTTGTAAACTTGTCTGTGTCGGTGCAGTGCATGCCGAATTGTTATGCGAGGATAATGAGTATGGGTGAAGAAGAGAGCCGGATAGTTCTTATAGCTAAAACCAATGTTTCAGCTGGTGATGAACTAACGTACGATTTCTCCCTTTCAAAATCGAATTTGGGATTTTAATCTATTGTTATATTATTAACACCTTATTAATAAACGGGTCCTTTTTTTATCAGGTATGATTACTTGTTTGATCCAGATGAACGAGACGAAGTAAAAGTGCGTTGCTTGTGTAATGCTCAAAACTGCAGGAAATTCTTGAACTGAATATCGTCTAACTTCTGTACAGCTGCTGCTCATACAATTTGACCTGTTGTCTCATGGAAAGATTCTTGATGGTTTAAGAGGAGAAATTGTACTATAATTTCGATTTCCTTTTTTTTTCAAAATTGTTATTCCAAATCAAATCTCCAGAATTGTAATTCATTAGCAAAAAAAAAAGTTCACTCTTCATTTATGTACCGATTTCTATTAATTTATTTATTTTCCCTGTTTTAGGTACTTAACATTTTATTCGGGATAGGAGATTTAACTAACAGAATTCATATTATTTATTTATTTATTTCTTTAATATAAAGGAAATGAACCGTATTTGATTGGTCGATTAAGTACTTTTAGTATTGATTGGCATATGTTAACCGCATTTGATGGCAATATCGATGCTACACCCGGTGATTTTAACCAGGCACCATAATTGATAAAATTTCCACTATGAGTTCAGTTATGGCCCATTGGGTTTTAAAAAAATAATTCTTAAATAAATTAAAAAGGACACATGTCAATAAGAGAGTTACCCGGTGAAAATCACCGGGTGTAGCATCGTATTTCCCGCATTTGATTGGGCTTACTCCTGATTTTTCTATACACATATCCATCTATTATTTAATAATTTTATCTACTTAAAATCATTTATATTGGTTACTTATCTAATTCCAAATTGTTTCTGAAATGATTTCAAAATTTTCATGCATTTTTTTTTTTACATTTTCCTAGAGCTAATATTGAATTTAATTAAATAAATCAATAATTAAGCACAAAATAATATTATTTGGAGCGGAAAAATCGGGTTTGTGTACATACAGAAAATGCGTCCAACTAATCAGACGAAATCAATCAATCACCTGTACAATATAATACCGTTTCCGCGATGTACTGGATAAACGCCCTGAGGAAGTAAGACCCATTTGCTTCGCGCGTATAAATACATTTCGAGTTCAAATCAAACCTTCCCTCACAGCTCTTTGCAATTCAAAATCCCAACTCTTCACACACTTCACGCACTAAATCTGAATAAGGAGTTCAGCGAGAGAGAGAGAGACAAAGAGGAGGAAGAAGAGGAAATTTCAAGCAGCAAAAATGGGGAAGCGATTGAGGAAAGCCAGATCGATGTGCTGTTGCGTCTCTCCACGATCCTCATTTCTTACTTCCCACTCAATTTTCAGCTGGTATACATGCATTACTTTGATGCTAATTTACAATTTGGCGAAGCTTGCAAAAAAATCTCACGAGAGCTCTAAAACTGAATTGATTTGATTTTTATTTTTTTCCCCCTGAAAGGATAAGATCTGATGTGTTTATCGCTCAAATTAAAGTAGACGAGTACGAAGTTTGATTTAATTTTGGTTTTTCTATTTTCTGTTCAAGCTTGGATATGTTATGATATGTACGTGGGCAATTTTTGGAAATTTGTACTTAAGTTCGGGATATTTATTTCTCTGCCAAATTTGTGGAAATGGAGGATTATTGAACTGAAATTTGAGTTAAATTTGACATGATTAGATGTGATTTGCTACTCACTGTTCTGCTGAGAGCTGTATCTTATCTTTCAATATGACTGTGAGATGATTTCGAGTGTGATAGTGGATATTGTTAGCCTAATATGTTATCTACAATGAGTGAATCTGTTCAGAAGTTTTCACTGTATTGTAATGCTGGTTTGGCTTCAGACTTAAGATTTGAATTAGTTTTCTTCATTTAAAGTTTAAATTTCAAGAGGTTGTGTTAGATCACTATTGCGTTGTCAGAACCTGGATTGGTTCTGTTCTTCCAAATTATTGGTGTTTGACTCACAGTAAAAGTTGATGCTACATAATGGTTTTTTTGGTTAAATTTGTTCCTCAGACTCAACTGTGTTTTTAACAGTACTACATCTCGTTTTTTTATGGAGCACGAGAGATCGTGCCAGGAAATAAAAATATATATCCTAATTTGAAAATTTGCTTGAAATAGACATTATTTTGATGATTGCATAAACATACAGCCTTCTCTCTTCTCCTTTCTCTTGGATATTTAGTTTACAAGCCTGTTTATATGATTGCCTTGCTCCATCAGTTTATTTTGATTCTAAATGTGAACAGGTATGAAGAGGATACGTGGATACAGATTGCCAAGTTTTTGGATGGAAGATCTCTGGTGATGCTCGCATTGACTTGCAAATGGTTTAGCCGTATTATGATGGAGGACTGCGTGTGGAAATATGCATGTTTGCGTGATCTTGATATTCCCGACCCTGGAAAAGTCTCATTCAAATGGATCAAACTTTATACCTCAGCTTTTGGTAAAGTTCATCTTCTTTGAAACTCCATCATAATATGAAGATTGGCTATTGCTATTAAAATTGTGCGGAGAATTGAATCATTATTTTTTTGCAGATGGAAGTCACTCGTACATGTTTCGTCAGCAAGAGAGGCATATTGGTAAACTTGTTTTTCTTGTAGTAGATTTCACTTCTTTTCCATAACCTGTCATTTGTTGCTGAGTGAAATTAATCAGGTCACAGGGTATGTGTTACTGAAGGGTGTTGAAATTTAAAGTAGTGAAAATCGAATAGTTAGGCAGTTAATAACTCAGTCCTTCATTATGACTCGATTCACGGTAAATAGATTTTAGTGATGCACTGAAATAAATGCACAATTAGGTGGCTATAGTACATGACCCTGTCATTCATTGGCATGATTTGCTATAGTAAGAGTCAGTAGATAATTCAGGTGTATTAAAAAACATGGGTATAACAGAGCATCACACCTAAGTTAGTGTTTCTTCTTACTTCATGCATTATCCTGGTCTGTTAAGTCTTAATACATTACATCTAGAGTAGAATATGGATGTTTTAACCATGTTCTTTGTTCGATCGAATGAATAGATTGGGCGAGGATTGGAGCATTCCAATTCGATTCAAATGCTGGACTCCTGTCAGACAGTCTGATGGCACCTCTGAGAATCCCGAAACAAGAGACGGTGGAGAAAATGTTGCAGCAAAATTGCTGCTGTGCATTAAATAATATTAAACCTGGAATCTGGATAGCTGGTATGTCATTATTATCGAATCACAAGAAGCAACATTTGGAATATGTTGATTAATATGTATAGTCTAATCGTCTGTAATTCGAATTTTGAACTGTGGTCGTGCTTGAAGACTTGCAGCTTGTTCGATGTGCTGTTTGCGACCTTTGTTCATGTGATGGTGAGTTGAACATGCGTGCATTTATCTCAGCATTTATTTCCCACCATAACATATTTATTTAATTTTTCCCTTCTATTGCTGTCCTCGTATATATGTGAATTCGAATTACTTAATATTTTTCTTTTTTTATCTGTGTTTGAGTTAATACATTGTACCCATAAATATCAACCATATACATGATACAGTATCTGAAACATAGCAAGTCATGCTCAACTTTCCATCTTTATAACAATTATATATGTCCTTAGTATGTTTCTATATACATGCTTCCAAATCCAAATGTTAAACTTTTTAATCGAAATATTTTACTTGCAGGAACAATGCAAACCTTGGATGCCAGGCATATTGAACTCTTCTTGAGTGACGGATATCTGAACGGAAGCTGGGATTATGATACCTTAGGAACCCGTGACATCAGCAAGAGTGCTGATGTGGCTTCTGGAGGGATTTTTGACATTAAGCATCTCAATGATCATTCAGCCTCTGGTATAATCATTAACTTGAAGAACAAATGATCTTTGCGTGTGTGTGTGTAAATATATAGTCAAGAAGCTGATCCTTAATTCTGATCATAAATGAAATCATCTAACATGAAACTTTATTTGAAGATATATGTTAATCACGTAATTAGTAGCTTAATATCCTCGTCTTAAACCTGAGTTTACTTCAATTGCATCTCAGACATCCTTGATCTGAAGTCATGGGTCGGAAAGCGAAACGACTGGCAACCTAAAACATTGACTACCCTCCATGCAGTTGCAGTGAACACCAATTTGCAAGACAATGAAGGTAACAATTCAATTCATGTCCGAACTTTTCCAGTCTCTCCCGTCACATATAAGTGGCTAAAATTAAACAATGGTGTTTGCATGAGTTTCAGGCAGATGCCTTTCATTGAGTTCACATAACATGAAATTACTTTTGTTATAAATAATCTGGGAACAGGTCTTAAGATTACATACGAGGCTATGAAGGCTGGAAAAGATGGCCAAGTTGTTTCGATTCGTATATCCCACCAGCTTCTGTAGTTCTGTTCAAATCCTCACTAATATATATTAATCCCCTCTCCAAGTGTAGTATCAGAATTTTCTTCCATGTAATTGTTGAAGTAATTGGTTAAAAAAAATAAAATAAAAAATCAGTTCCCATTTAGAATTTTAGTTCACATAAGGCCCGACGACCTAGCTGTATCGTCAGCACATGTACAAAGTGATTTCACACGAACAAGATCTGTTCCAAGACAATAATATCGTCCGAAAAAGACAACCAAAGATTAAATGTTTCGTCAACTTTCTAAAAAAGTCTATCAACTTCACAAAACAAGATGAAATTAAACAACAAAAGGCAGATTAGTACTCGAACAAGTTGTGGACAAATACTGAAAATATGACTTAAGAACAAAGATCATATTAAGGTGACAGAGTTTATCTCTTCTGATTAGGATCCGAGATTACCAGATTCGAGTAAAAACAACTTTCGGATCATACGCTCGAGAACTGCACGAAGGGCATTGGTTGGTCTGCAACAACCTTTGAACGACACATAGTGCATGAAACGCGTGACTGCAACAAGGCATCACAGTTATTACATCCCCGATCGTGTGGACCTGCAAACAGATCTCGCAAGGATTCACAGGAGCCGACCCCTCATCAAAATCATCAAATCTAGTCCGAGGTAGCCCTAGCAAAAACAATAATGGTTCTCGCACGTACGGTTTCCCCCTCGTGAAATTTGTATATGGCTTTAAGTACAAAGGCAGCATTCTTTCTGTCCTGATTGCCCTTCCCATGAATTCCTCGAGCGTTTGATTGTCTTTTTGGATCGTGCAAACCTCAATGTTACCAACTAGAGAGATTGTATCCGATAAGTTGTATTCAGGATCAGCCTCCACTTGTTTGGCAAAAACAAGTGACATGTGCTTAAACTTATCTATTTCCTCCTTAGACATATAATATTCCTCCAGTCGGTAAATCAACTTGTTCTCGAAGATTTTACTCACATCGGATTCTTCAACTCCATGCAATTCTGTACCGTACATCTCCGAGTCGATAATTTGATATACCCCATCAGTTTTCTTCACAATGAAGCTTGTTCTGATCTCTTTCTTTCCAGGTCTTATTTGGTAGATATACGATGTTTTTATTTCCCTCAACACAGTGAACCGATAGTTGTATTCATACTTCATCTTTTTTTTTTTTTGAAGAAAAATACCTACAAACAACGTCAATATTTGGATAGAAAAAAATCATTGGAAGAAATAATGAAAAATATAATTAATACATATGCAAACGAGTTAAAAAAATACACATATGCAAGAGTTTCTTATTCTACTAAAAAAATCAGTGAATGCAGAACCAAAAACTAATCCCAAGAAGATCGAAAAACGTATAAACACATGAAAAATAAACAATTATCATAAATCATGAAAGAAATTTATATATTTCTTTGAATTTCTGTTTTTAATCATAAATTTCGGATTGAATAGCTGAGTCAATACAAAAATAATATCCACGGCAGAAAGATAATGGTCACTCCACTCACTCGGAAGAGAAATTTACCTCAAGATGAAATGAAGAAAAAACACGGCTAGAGAGAGTGTGAGAAAGATGTATCTTATAATTTATTATTTAGGGTAAATTACACACAACGCCGCTGTATGCTTAAATAATTTTAAGGTCCCTATGGTATCAATAATTACGCTCACCCCCCTGAAACGTAGTTAGAAACTCTAACGGGATAATGCATTGGATACATTATTTCGATAGGGTTCTAATGAACTATTACTTTTAGCTAGTGGTGGAGATAACATAGAGTTATCGGGAGTTATGTGGTGACATGACTCCCCCAATATGTCTTAAATCACCCGTAACTCTTTGTTGTCTCCACCACTTCCTGAAACCAATAGTCCGTTAGAACTCTATCGTAATAACGTATCAAATGAATTATCCTATTAGAGTTTATAACTACGTTTCAAGGGGGTGAGTGTAATTATCTATACCACAGGGACCTTAAAGTTATTTAAGCATACCTCAGGGGCGTGGGTGTTATTTACCCTATTATTTATTACACCCAATCCCTTTGGCCCGACAAATATTTGATGGAGGAATGTAAATCATGGTAACTCAACGGCCCGTTAAGGTAGCGGACCCGGACCTGGTGCCCACAGAGGATTCGATCCTAGGACCTTGCACCAACTTACCACCTCCGGAACTAGTTGAGCTACACCCATACCTGCTACTATTTATTATTTATTATCTATACTATCCATAAAAGTGAGAATGTTAGGGAAGGTTTCTTCCATTTTATGTGAGGACCAAAGTACCCTTATCAATAATAATATATTAAACGTGAAATGCATAAAAGAATAATTGAGTAATAACAACAAATAACAAATAATAATAATAATAATAATAATAATAATAATAATAATAATAATAATAATAATAATAATAATAATAATAATAATAATAATAATAATAATAATAATAATAATAATAATAATAATAATAATAATAATAATAATAATAATAATAATAATAATTAATGATTATAATAATTAATAATGCATCCCCACTCATTTACAAACTAACAAAAAACACCACATGAAATTTATTTCAAAAGAAAAAAAAAAAACTCTTATATTTCTGTCAAATGAATTATTTCATTTAATGTGACTAATAACATATATTACTTAATAGTAATTGGCACAGGGGTTTCTTTGATCAAGAAATTTTTGCCCGTGCGGCCTGATTTGCTCACCAAATCAGTCAGCCTTCCTCTCGATTCTCTTCGTACAAAACGCACAAACACAAGTCTTTAAAGCCAACGTAAACGAGAACAAGAGTATGCAGCGGAAAACAAACACACAAGCACGTTTATGGGCAATGCCCAACCTTTATATTAATTTCCCACAAAGAATGCAAAGGAGACTAAAGTGCACACACAAAATCCTCACTCAGAATGCCCACAATTGCAATATGAACTCTCTAATGCTAGATGGGTCGGATTTGTGCACTCATAGCCAAATAAATACAAGGAAGAAAGTAGTTTTCACATAAAACTACCTAAGGACACATGGCAGCACTAATACTTGACACTTGGCTAACTATTACAAGTAATAAGGGGCAGTTTTTCGTGCTTTCCAGGCCTCAACCGCTCCGCAACTTCCCTCAAAACCGCCCACAAGGCTGGTTTTCGAGGCCCATCTTGATCGGGCGCGCGCGCGCGCGCCAAACGGCCCAAACAGCCCGGCCGGTTGCTAGGCAGCCCATCTGCCTTGCCTTTTCCACACGTTTTGCTTGTCTTGCCCATCACTTGTTAGTTCTTTGCCCACACGGTCTTTAGCACACCCGCACATCGGGCTTCCTTCCTTGATTTGCCAATCGGTCGTGCCAAATTGCCCACACTTGTCAAGTCGTGGTCGATTTCCCTCGAACGTTCGTTTGCCCAAGTTATCGGCCACATGCCGATTACTGCCCACGCTTGTCCGCATTTGCTGCCGAGCAACGCCCGTGCCAGCCACTAGTACTTTCGATCACCGTTCCCACTTGAATCAAGTCATTCCTTGCTTTCTCGGGCAAACACCCCAAATGCTTGCCCAACACTCGACCACTCATTGGCCGATTGTGTGGCTGTCTTGTGCCAACCCTTGCTTGGCACCCATTCTCGGCCATAACTCGGCCACACTCGAGTCATTACCGATATCACCGACTAAGGGGGTAACAGTAATGCATTAGAAATGAAACTGAATTAAAACCTAGAAATTCTTTTATAAAAGAAAATATATCCAAAACTTATGTTTTGCCGTTTCAATCAATCAGTCATCATTAATACAATCTCATTCATTACTATGGAGACAGTTTCCAAATCATCCGTTATTAAATAGGAAAAAAATGATAAATACATAAATCTTACTCTTGGCTCATTCGGCAACGTGGTCATTCCAGCCGTTCACGTTCGGTGGAGGTCGACAATTACCTGATAACATGGTATCAGACTCTATTACCCTCCAAGTCACCCCGGTGGTGGTACTCTAATATTTTTATTTATTTTTTTCTTTTTCTATCTTTCTCATGAACACCGCTCGAATTTTCTCTCTCTCCCTTGGTAGTGCATCTTCTCTATCTTTTTCTTCTTCTTCTTCTCCATGGCCTAAAACCTAGTCGCCGCCTCTCTTCTTTTCCCTGGCCGGCGACCACCAAACCAATTTTCTCCCTCCCCCGGTGGTGGTAACATATATTATTTTCCGACATCTTCTTCTTCCTAGTCGGTTAATCTCTTTTCTCTCTTTTAATCCATATCCTTCTTTAATTATTCTTCTTCTCTCTCTATTATTATTATTATTATTATTATTTTTCTCTCTCCCGTTATTATTATTATTATTTTTTTTCTTTCTATCAATTGGGCAGATATTTACACAGACGAATTCTCTAGCGTTGTGTTTCGCGGTTTCTGTCTAGTCTTCACTTTTTGAGTTTATTCGTTCCGACTGCGGGAGCGTGCTAGCAAGTGATTGTCCAGTCTTCACGTTCGTTACGTTTCGACTGCGGGGGCGTGTTAGAGAATATTATATTATAGAACTCTTGTAATATTAGAATTCTAGTATGATTGAGTTACCTAGATTAGTTATGATTTAGTTACCTAGTCAAACTCTATTACCTTGCAATATTTCTCTATATATATTTCATGTAATCAACCCATAACATAATGGAGGGTTTCTATTACGTATTCTATTTCTATTAGACATTGTTGTGAAGGTGATGCAGGCAACATGATGAAATTAGTGGGGAGTTTTGTGGGTAAGGGGTGATGCAAGTTGTATATGTTTGCGACATCCAAAGGAGATGCTTATTAGGTGCAAAGCTAGAGAGATGATAAAAAAAAATGAAAATGAAGAACATAGAAGAATTTGTTCAAGTCGTAGAGATGCAAGATATTGTGCCAAGTTATCACCACGAATCAAGGGTTTTTTTTTTTTTTTTTTTTAATTTTCAATTTTGTTAGTTATATATCAATTCTTTATGTGTCTTATTATATTAAGCCATAAATCGTGTTTTTTTTAATTGTAGTGCTTTGTAAAAAAAAATGTTGGTTCCAATCTTTGTTTTATTATTGTTTTGAATATTATGTGAATCACAACCATAATTTTCATACGTATATTAATGGATGCATAGGTGTATTATTTTCATGCATATACTAAATAAAACTACCAGGATGCATGTCAACAGTGGCGGAGCCACCATTTGATAAGGGTGGGCTCCAGCCCACTCTCATTTAAAAAATAATTATACTATATATTATATTTATATATAATTAGCCCATCTAAATAGTTTAATTTAGCTCACCCAAGTAATTTAGTTTAGCTTATCTACCAAAAATTTATACTATATATTAATTAAAGTTTATAATTTGTAGTTATTTTATGCTATTTTAGGTGAATGAATAAAAAAAACCCGGGGCGCTGCCCCCGAACCTCCTAAATGTTAAGCTCACCCATCCACAAGTAATTTTTTTTAAAGAGCCCACAAGTAATTTGGTGTAGCCTATATTAGTTGAAGTTTATAAATTTGTAGTTATTTTGTGCTACATATTTATGTGAATGAATAAAAAAAAAAATCGGTGACGCTGACTCCGAACTCCGTAAATGTTAAGCCCACCCTGTCTCGAATTCCTGGTTCTGCCACTGTATGTCAAATGATTCAACAATGTCTATATCAAAGGGTTATAAATAAAATCAAAATTCTTAAACACTTCTTCTAAAAGCCTTACGAGTTAGAACTCAATTATGAGAAGGCTGATTTTAATGGATCAGGAATACAAGTCTAGCTCGTTTACCTATTATATTGTTTCACCTAAGAAACTAAAGACTCCAAATTTTTTTTGCAAGGGATTCAACGAAGACCTCCAATATTTTGATGATCGTTTCTCCTTTCTTAAGACTTACATAATCTCTAACGGAATTGTTCGAAACATCAATCCCTATGTATTATCGATGCCATAAAAAACAATATCGTTGTATATCTATAGTATGCGAAAAGCTAAGTTATATTTAATCCCACAAAAAACAAATACTAATAATTGTTTTACATTTTAATTATTCGACGAATTAATTTAGGAAATACAAACTAATAAAAAAAATTATCAACTTCGTCAATAATATTTTTGAAAATATGTAATTCTTATTGATGCTTAAAATAAGTTAATTTAGTTTTTTTCTTCTCCTTCTCTTTTTTAAAGTGTTATTGAATAAGGATACACATAATCATTTTAATATTTATATAATAAAATAGACATCCTCTATCAATTGGCAACCACATTTCAACATGGGTTAAGTTTTATTTACCCAAATTTAATATATCTTTCCGTTATTAATATCATACATATCAAATGTAACTAAATTACGAAAAATATTCGACTTCGATAAGAATAAGTGGTAAACATGTGTAAATAGTAAAATAAACAAATAATTTATTATAATATATATCCAACTATTATTAATATCATATATAGAAAAATTAATACGACAGTTGCGTGCAAGGCACTAGCACCTGTCTAGTATCTATAAAAGGAGGAGGAATATTAGTTGAGTTTCTTCCAAATTTATGTGAGGACCAAAAAACCATTTACACTATTAGATAATAAAGATAAGGAAATACAAGGATAGTTAGGTAATATCATATTAACTAATAAAAATTGCACCACAATTTGTAACCGTTGTTTAAAATGAGATGGTCAAAGGCAAGCAAATAACGTGCTAAAATTTAGAAATAGACACAGTAAGGGTGTTTTAGGTATGCATCATAAGGAAAAGATGTGATTATGGAATTAACATTTGATTATAGTCATGAAATCGGCTGTTCGAAGCGAACTTTGTTCATGTGATTGTGTATTTATATCAGAATATTTACTTCCCACCAAAAAATATTTATTTAATTTTCCCTTCTGTTGCTGCTGTCACTGCCTCATCATATACATACATACATACATACATGTGAATTCGAATTACTTTTAAGAATTCTTTTGTCCGTGTTTGAGTTAATACATTGTATCGTCAGCACTATGTTCTTCTAACAAGCTTAACTGCTAATGTATCCAATAAGGTTAAAAAAAGTCGACAAATTGTATCGATGAAGACAATACATTATAACAAAAGTACCCCACATTGTTTTAATCACTGAAAGGAATATTCACAAATAACTAAATCCTTTTGTCGTTGATTTTGGACAAATCAAGGAAATTCAAACACGTTTCCTAAATATTTTTCTTGTTCCTAGGCGATGTGCACGAGGAGCGAAAAATTTAGTTACTTCCGACAAGAGGCCTATTTATACGAATGCCCTTCCTTTCTCTACTTCCTCTTCTTCCTCCGACTTTTAAAAAAAATGGACATTCTTAAAATAATCTTCATTCTTCTCACAACCTTTTCCACTATCCACTGTAATAATAATAATAATCAGGATTTTGTTTGCCCTAATTCATTCTGCGGAGACTTGTCCGTGGACTACCCGTTCAAACTACTAACAACACAACCGCAAAACAACTGCACCTATATTCATCTAACTTGCAATAACAATACAGACAATGGACCAACCTTTGTAGCAAGTCTTCCATTTGCTGGAGATTTTTACGTAAGTGCCCTTAATTATATTGATTCTTACATCGAACTCCATGATCCCGAAAATTGCCTTATGGGGCGGCTCATGAAGAATTTCAACCTCGCATTGTCTCCTTTCAAGGCATTTTTTCACGAGAACTACACATTTTATGAGTGCCCTTCAGAATCAAATGTATTATACGACTTTGTTTTACCAATTGAGTGTCTTAGTAACCCCGCATTTGCCACAGTAGCTACGGCTCGTTTAACATCGCATTTCATGTTAGGACATAGTTGCCAGGTCATCGGCAGTTGGCTGCTCCCAGTTAAAGCCCTAGGTCAGTTTGAATCTGTTGGGATTAATAGTGATCTTTATTTGACTTGGAACTCCACTACCTGCATTGACTGTAAAGAAGATCAACAAACAGATAATTCAGGTAAAAAAAAAATATATTGATTAAAAAAAAGAGATCATTCTTTTCTCATATTTCATATTTGAACTGTTGAAACGGCTGGAAATTTATGGGCTAAAATTACAACAATGGTTATATTGCTCCTAGTATGTGCATTGTACATCAGAAAAATAATGGCTTGGAGAAACGTGGCAGTTTCTGACTCCACCACAATCAACGAACTGCCGGAATCTGCTACAGCCACCATAGCAACACCACCACGGCCCGCTGGCGACGGAGGACCGAATGAGCCTAAAATCAATTCTTGCACAGAATTGGTAATTCTTAGTGAAAACAGAATAAATTCAGAGCCAGATTCTTATACCTGCTCCATATGCTTAGAAAGCTGTGATCCCCAAGAACTAATAAAAAACATTACCAAATGTCAACATTATTTCCATGCCGACTGCATTGAAATGTGGTTATATAATAACAGAACCTGTCCAGTTTGCAGAACAGTTCTTTCCGACATCGATTTGTAACGTTTTTCAACAGGATGTTCCATTTTTTTCGTATATTTTGATTTCTCGTACAGAACATTGTAAATGCACCGATCACATATCGTTGAGCACTATTTTCATTCAAAATACAATTCGATTAAATTGGTACGAATTACACAAACTGATCCAATTTGTTTTGCCTACAACTTGAGAAACATGTCAAAAACTTACAACAGTATCTTAACTAGAAAGAGGAAGTACATTTCTACTAGAACATAAATTCAGAAATGAAATTTGGTACATTTAAGATAAGACAAATACACTAAACTTTTCATTTCTTGGCAAATAACTTCTTTGAAAGCATCTCCAATGGTGTGGTTTTGAGCAGGAAGAGCCTCGCTGCACGTTCTGGTAAGGTACCGCCACATTTCAACCCTCGGGCTTGAAGTTCCACTTTCAATCGATCCATGCCCAGAACCTACAGCCAGTCATGGTTGCGTTAAAAATAAATTAAAACAATTAAATCGGAAAAAAAAAAGGACTAAATCACCACCAACATATTACATACCTCTAATTCCGATGCTGAATGATACTCATCAAAGTTCAGCGGCTTATCCAAGTCCGGAACCTTCTCATTCACAGACACTGCTTCTTCTTGAATTGGCTCGACTGTGGCAATATTAATTGTTTCTTCCACTTTGCCAGAGTCAGATTCAAGAGCCAACTTTACATCAACTTCATTATGGTCTATTTTGTCTTCAAGAATCTCTAAAGAAGGATTATTTTTTCTTCCGTCTGTGCCATCATCACTATTTCCACATACTTCCAGACTTTTACAGGGTCTAGAAGATTCTTCACCAACATTTTCTTCTCCCTCGGAGCCACTACCAGACGAACCTTGATCCAGAGATGTGGGATCAACTTTCTCACCAGTAACCGAACCTGAACTTCCCTCTGCTTCTTTGCTTGAATCTGAACGACTCACAGTATCTATAATAACAGATTTCTGATCCTCTCCTTCTTGTTCTTCATCATCACTATAATCCTCACTGTCACTATCATCCAACTTTCTCTTCCCATACCTGAAAAATAATCATTATTAAAGGGTGAATACATCACGAAGTAGAATCCCATCAGTTCAAATATGTAGCGCAAAGATAACACTCATGGATCACGGATCCAGTTTCAAGATAAAGTTTTAGATCAATCCAACAATTTCAGCAAAGCTTTATACAGCAAAACAACGAATTTCATAGTATCAACCCCAAATTAGGCAATTATATCACAATTCACAAACCCGATCTCATATTGTGGACAATAACATCAAGATTCGCATAACTTTTTATATCAAAAAACACACACAAAAAAAAAAAGTACAATTGTTATTTTTAAACTCCATACCATATCTTCAATCGCTTCGAATCGGATCCATTTCCCTCCGCGCCACTCTTCCTCTTCGAGCTTTCGAACCCCTTAACCGACTCCATGACCGATCTTTTGACCTCCTCCATACACTTAGCTGAATCTTCCCTATACTTAGCCACATATTTATCAGCACTAGAACCACCATTGCTCTTACCACTCTTCACCAACTCTTTTGTCTTCTTCTTAATGTAAGCATCCGCCATCTTCTCCAGGTTCCTCTCTTCCGCCTCAGCTCTCCACTCTTCCAGCTTCTTCTCTGCGTTCACATGTCTCAGCCTCCGCCCATTCATATCCCTACAAGCATCGAAATTGTTCGTCTTCTTCTGTCCCGCCTTGGTTGCCGCCCCTCTCAGCAGAGATCCAAACCCTCCTTTACCACCCCTAAGCCTCAGCAACAGATGCACCACCACGGGAAATTGGGTACTGAAATTGGGATCTAGGGTTTCGGAAAGTCCGAGATGAGCGGGGGTTTGGTCCAATTTTAGGGTTTGATCGTCATGGATGATCTTAGAATCGTTGAATAGGAGGAGCTGGAGGTGGGAAGGGACGGAGGTTATCGTCTGAATACGCTGCTTGAGGGCGGAAACGGAGATTGAGGGGGCTGTGAAATTAAATATCTTGTGCTTTCCATCGAGCAATTTCACAAACACTTGGTGGGTACCGGATTCAATCGTCTCCATCGAATCGAAAGCTTTTTCCTGATCGATGAATTTATCCAGAAATTATTCAATTGCCCGTCTTTCCTGAAATCGAATGTCGAAACGAGAGACTTCGTCTCTTTGCGGAATACTTATAGGCTTTATTTTGGGCTTGGGCTACAAATTGGGCCAGATTTTGTTGGGTCGGCCTTTATTTATGATTTAGAGCTAATAGCACATACCTCCCTGTGTTGTTTCTAATTGTTCAAAAACCCCTTGTGTTAAAACAATTAGCAGAAAGTCCCCCATGTTGTGTTTTTTAAAGTACATCGGTCCTTATTTCGAATTTACTCTTGACTTGTGTGAAATGACCATTTACCCTTACAACAGAAATATTCAAGTCAAAAAATACACCTCTGCTCTTGCAATCTGCGCGCATTACATGAGAAGCTGTTAGGGTTTTTTTTGGCTTTGACTAGGGATGTTATTGCTAATTCTTTTAACACACAGGTTTTTTTAGCAATTAGAGATTACAGAGGGGTAATTCTTACAAAAAAAAGTCCTATGATTTATTATATCTTTATAATTGTGAAAATGATCATTTACCTGCAAACAAACTCAGACCAAAAAAAAAGCCAAAGACAGTGCTCGTCAAATATCTGTGTAAATTTCCAGTTCAAGTTATATATATATGTACTAATAACAAAAACTGCAACTTCTATCCTCCAAGAAAATTGCTTTGTAAAATCTTTATGTACAAATAAAAAAAAAACAGTAATTATTTGAATTCTACGAATGATTTTCTGTACTGAAATCAGGCTCGGCTGGCTTCTGAGGCAATAGAGTCGGTAATTTCGGCGACGGAATATTATTACGCCTCAAATTAGCGAGCATATTAGTAGCAAATTTCGACGCATAAACGGCAGCACCAATGCTCGGTGAATCCACACCTAATAACGCGCCATGCATCACTCTATCTTCCGCCTCTCGCAACGACTTTTCCATCTTCCTTCTGCAATGCCTTCGCCACGCCGCTTGTATAAAACACGCCCCCCATGTTCTCCATTGTTGAGAATATAACCTTAATAAATATAAATTAAAAATAAATAAATTATGATTTTTTTTTTTTTTGAATGTCAAATTATTGAAAATTTGAATTTAAGAACTTACCTGAAAGTGTGTTGAAGCTGTTTACTATGAAGCCGTCTAAATTGGGAGGCGACGGTTTTTAAGTCGTCGGCCATTAAACAAAAAGCCTCGACATCTTTAACTGCTTGCACCGTTCGGGTCGAAATAGGAAGGCTCGAAGAAGAATTTGGATCCAATGCCCAAGTCAAAAGCTCTTCCCCACAAAAATCTCCCGACATTAGATATACGGAGTTGTAAAAGCCCGTTCTACCCCCGTTTGTTGTGACGGTTAATATGTTACCCCTCATTATGAATAGCATTTCGTCAACGGGGTCTCCTTCTCGTACGATAAAGCTGTTCTCCGTGTAAAGAACGGGCTTCAGTCGAGTGCACATTGCATCCAATAGTCGTTCGTCCATTTTCTCAAACATTGGCACCTATATATATTAATGATTTAGCTAAAACATTTTGTAAGTGTTGCCTAGAAGTCGTAATTTTAGAAACTGGAATAAAAAAACTCGTTCCGAAATAAAAAATTTCATCACCCGAAGCAGATTTCGAAAAATTCCAATTTTTAGTCACCTTAAAAATAAAATACATAATAGTAGATAATTTGAAGTGTAATTTTTTGGAAATAAATTGGAATAGGGTCGAAAATCGGAATCTCGTATATATTCCAAACTCCAGTACCCAAAAAAATTCGAAAAAATCGGAAGTAAAAAATATAGTTCCAAAATCAGAAAAATTCGGATCGGAAGTTATGTTCCGATTCCGAACCCTAGTGTTAACTTAATTATAACTTACTCTAGTGAGCAGAGTCCAGCAGAGATGGCGTTTGATGTCCCTTCGTAAGTCTTTCGGAAAGTTCCAGATCAAAGAATCTTCCTCAACGCCTCGAGTTTCTTGCCATTTGTATTGCTCGTATCTTCTTATACGACCCCTCAGTTCTTCCGGAAGCATTCGGTGGGCCATCCATTGCTCTGCATCTGTACGCTTCACTCTCATCTCTTCTACCCTAACTGTCATAGACTGTAAATATTTCTGCAAACAACAAAGAACATATATACATATAAGTAATACATTTTACTTACATGCACATTTAATTTTATTACGTTAAAAAATATAATTATTTTTTTAGATTCACATTTACCTGCATGTTACCGATGAGAAACGAGAAGAGGATCAGTCCGATTACCGAGATTGCAATAGCGAAAAGAATCTCCCCCACAAAAGTGCTTGTTTTCAGGTTTTGCCCTAGTGAACTGCAATATTATTAAGCAAAATGTACATTATGTGATTATATATATAATATATAGTTTTAATCAATGAAAAAAAAATGAGGAAAATATTTTAAGACCTCAAATTCCTTAGCCCCCACCAAAAGCAGTAGAAGAACTTTCTAGAGAAGTCCTTTTGCTCGGCAACACGAGACTGAAGAGCATCTAGAACGATGCCAAAGTCGAAATCCAATTCGCTCTTTATCTCGTTCGGTTCGAGAAGTGGGCAAGAAGTATTTAGAAATGAAGTGTCTCCTTTAACTTCTCCTCCACAATACAAATCGTCCAAATTACATTTGTTATCACGGCACGCGTTACGCCAACACCTATCCTTTCGTTCTATCGCAAACAAATACCAGAACGCTCCAAGAACCTAACCGAAAAAAACAAAATAATAACATTAAAAATTGTCTTAACATGAATAATGAACCTAGTACAAATTTTTGTATGTGCAAGAAAATAAAAAAAACTTACATGACTGGCAAGCATGTAGAGGAAGAGATTGAAAGCAGCTCCGGCCCAGGGCGTTTCCGTAAATAGACCCGAAGTTCTAGTTACCTCTTTATATAAAGGGTAGAGCCGAAACAGTCTCGGAATATATTGTACGAAAATAACGATTTTCAGTAAGTCTTTCGTCACCAGCGAAATCGGAGCGCTTACACTAGGGATCACTATTAAAATCACTACCTAAATAACAAAAAAACAAAAATTAAATAAAACATTTCACATGTAAAAAATATAGTTACTCTCAATAAAACAACTAATTAACTAATATACCTGTGGTAAAGGAAGAACTGATAAAACATCCACAATAAAGTAAGACGACAAATATCGTTTGGCTATAGCTTTAGCATCCTCGACCAACTCGCCCCTTCCAAATATACGAGAACAAGGCGCAATAAATCCGGTACGAAATTGCAAGAAAATATGGAATATATAGAATAAATCCATAAACGATCGAAGAACACAAGCAATGATCTCCAACTTCTTGTCCAAAGACAGACACCGGTTTACGGGATCAACCACCGGAATGTAGAAGAATAGTGGGTCCAAAGATACCGCAATCACGCAAGAAAGTACGACGATTTTATCCCATCTTTGCAGAAAGGTCCCTTGAGGATCAAGAATTTTCTTTTTGGGGCTCGATTTCTGCCTAGTACTGGTTTGTGAGTGGTGATTTAAGGACCATCTTCTCAAGCTTTTGACACTCGTGGAACCTTTTTCGAGCCCCGTTCTAATTCGGTCAATAGTCGAGCTCAAACTTGGTTTTATTAACGAAAATAGCCCTTGTATTTTGGGGCGCCGATCGGAGGTAAAAGACTTGTTGTCGGAATTGCTTTTTTCGAACCTGAGTACGATCACACGATATATAGTAAGCATGAGATTAAGACACAATTGAACATATTACAGACAAAAATTAGAATATTGGTGCATGTTACATTGGACTAACCTTACATATTTATCTCCATTTAGATTCATATTTAATTTCACCTGTGCCTCAAACAACAAACAGAGAAAATTTATTAGCAAGAAACTAATAATTGATATCTTAATTTCAAGAATCGAAAAAAGAGTCGAAAACCGGAAACTTACATAGACAAACTATAATTTTAAGACAGCCCTTTTCCAATATTTGGATAATAATCAGAAAATTAAAACTAATTAGTAATATAACTGAAAAGTTTTTTTAAGTGTCAACAAAAGGCAGCTTTTTTTTTCTAGTTAAGAAACTTCTTGCAGATTGCTGTAATAAGGAAGTACTCAGTAATTTCCATGAAAACATTAAGTTATTATTTTGATTTATTACAATTGGACTGTAATAAAAATGGTATGTATAATGTTATTTTCGCTATTCCTATTCAACAAACAAACAACACCTAATGTTAATTAATTAACATAATATGTGAAAAGTTGACAAAAGTTCAATCAGAACAATGGAAGGAAACATGTCTTTTTTGAATATCATTGTCAAAGTTCTGAATAAAATAAAATGTAATTAAAATAAATATATTTATTTAAACATGCTGGTTTAATTTGTAGTACACCAGAGAAAATGTCAAAGGCTTAATTAAAAATAATAGTAAATATTTTTTTGACATTTTTTATAATACCAATTGGAGTCCAAATTAATCATTTTCCAATATTTTTGTTCACAATAAATAATATAATGGGATGAGAAATTAAAAAAAAAAAGTGAAAAAAGAACAATATAATAATAATAATAATTGGGTCAAGAAAATACAAGACAAGATGATGAAATATAATTGATTTGAAATGCATACTAATCATGTTTAAGGTCAGTAAATACATAAATAAAAAAAAGGGGAAGTAATACCTGCTTCTACAACAGCAGATAGAGCTATATGTATATATTTATTGCCTGAAAGCTCTAATTTCTAACTCTTGTTAACTATTCCCCATTTGACCTTTTAAATAAATATCAACTTCTCTTATTCTGATGATTATTATAATTTATATTATTATACATTAAAAACCTCAATATTCTAGACGAAAATTCGACAAATTTTGCATAAGATTTCACGGTTTTCTCTCTCTCGTCATGCTAACGGCTTCCTCTTCATCCAACG